GACAAAACGATATGAATGATACTTAATTAATATATTACGACATTTTACTATAATACTCGAATCAACAACTACTGATTCACTTTATATATTAGATGGGGAGGCTGAATCACGCTCCGCGTGTTCATTTGACTCTGTGATACAAACATTTTGATTTCAAATTCCATGTTTTCCATGTTTCTGGATTCCTTCACCCAGTATTTCTTTACATTAATCTCAACTTAACTCCTTACATGGATTTAAAATGGTCAAAAAAACACTTGGGTCAAATTTTTCTATAGAATTAAAAATAAAGATCCTATTTTTATTTAACATTTTCATATATGCAACTAGTTTTCATAAGCACCATAATAGTTCATGTCAATAAATTTAATATGTATAAGGAATTTTAAATACACTTTCCACTACTTTTTTCAAAACTATCTCTTTTCGTATATTTATAATATTCAATATTATCGTGTAAATTTTTCTGCTCTTGCCATTTGCTTAGACGTTTCTGACACATAATATCAACACATTCCTACAGTAGGACAATTTTCAAATAATAGAAATACTCGTTCTACCAGTTTATATCTAGAATATTTGTTTTTTAGTTTTTTCCTTTTATACTTCTTTATCCCTATTTGGTCTTGTGACTTGTTGGTAAAATTTAACAACCATTTGTTTCGTTAATTTCTATGTTTGTTTGGCAGGTCTATATAATTTACAATCTTTTTTGCAAAGTCTCTTATTGTCTTCAATAATGTGTTCTAAATTATAGTACCAATCAAAATTATAATTTATGACTCTGAATTTACCAAATACTTCATATTTTTTATGAGTGAACATATATGAAAAATATTCAAACTGTTAATTGGTTAGGAAATATAAATAGTACTAAATAAATTTATTCTTCCTGATAAAATAGAGTCCCTCACTGCCTCTTAAATCACAGAAAATATTGATATACTTGTCTATCTATACATTAAAACGATCAACATATCCTATCTATATTATTTAATGTTACCACCTTATTTTTATATATGCTAACTACATGAAATAATGATGTTCGTTTGTCTGGGCCTATTTATTAATGGTTTGTAATAATATACTTATATGTTATTCATGAGTGTTAGTTTTTTATAAAAAGAAAAATATAAATTATAAGAAAAAACATTAACTAAAGCCAAACTACTCTATTGTTCTATTACTCCATATTAAGTGAAAATTTTTAATTATTCATGAATTTATTAAGGAAATTATTCTTCTGCAAATTATAAGTACAACAGAATATCATATAACGCTGTCCATAATATACAATAAATAAAATCATTGTCATTTTTTCTCTGTACAATATGTAACTTATATATGTCTTTAATAAATATTTGTGTCTTTTAAAATATCGTCTATTAAAAAGGCTTCTTATAATAATAAGTATACTTTCAGTATATAATTTATATCTTCATTTTTTCTTCTAAAAAAGAGTAGCTTCTTTTTATTATCCTATTATCCTTTTTGAAGCGTTATTAATGTCAATTATTTAATTATACATTCTTCAAAACAGACGCGTTAAAATTTTAATGTCTCTAAGACATACAAATGCAACATAAAATAATAAACTTCATATAAATTATTTTATTTTCCTTTCCTGTATAAATATCCAAAAATGTGTCACAAACTGTTATAAATTCTATGGATGTTTTATTCAATATTGTGAATTTTAGTGTAAATAGTAAAGCCTCGGTGCTCATAAAATTTGTGTACTAGAAAGAAGTGTTTGGTTCCAGTATCCATTTTTTGACAAATGATAAATAAACGCTTAAATATTAATATATTTCTATATACATACAAAATAATTTATCTCGATAAATAATTTGAAAAAAGATGGTATTTTATTTAATTAATAATTACAAAAAAATTAAAAAGAAGTTTTACAATAAAAAGGATTCTTCTTTGAAGATCACTATGATATAAAATCTTTTATATTTTTGCTTAAAAGGAACTTAATTTTATTGATGTATGAAACACATTTTACATGTAATTTTTCTAAATAATTAATTTATTTCTTTTTCAAATATCCATAGAAGCTCTAAATGTATTTCATTAAAAAAAACCATAAACAATGCATTTATTACATTTCTTTTATTAATCTGTAACTGTGATTAAGTATGTGCATTTTATTCTTTTAATAAAAAACAGTATAAAATAATTATGTTAGGAATTTTAAAAACATTTAGCATAATGTATATATAAATTGAGCATACAATTAATAGCTTTTTTTAAAAAATAATTATTGTAATTATTATTACATATATGATATTGATTGTCCTTTTTTTGACCTTGCCCAAGTGAACATAAATAAAATTTGAAATGATGTTTTATTATATTTTTTTCTATTATATTTATAGTGGAAGTCACATTTATCATTACGTATAAAGCATAAAAATGTTTTTGCACTTATTTACACATTATGTTATTCAAATATCCTTAACATATGGATATTTTTGCATTCATTTATTCTTGCATATTAATCTTACCGCTTTTTTGTTTGATGATTTTTTATCATTCAGCACTAATGAGCTTATAGTGCCAATAACCAAAATAATAATGAAAAAAAATTAATGAAATCATTATAATTAATGTGAAGTACTTAAATCAACATTTTACAAAATAATGACATTCCTTCAAATTAATGCACACATAACAGATTAAAATGATTTCAAACAATCAAATTTCATATAAAAAAAAATGTTTTTCTCAAAAGTATCCCGAAAATTAAATAATAACTGTTAATTTTTTTGGAAAAAAGCAAGACGATTAATAAAATTATTTTTTGTATTGTAAATTACAAGATATTTTCCTTAATGCGCAATAAACCATTAATTACATTAGGAACAGTATGAAAAAAACTTTGTACCTCGACATATAAGGCAATAAATGAACTTGCTTATAATTAAAATTCCTTATTTAAAATACTTATAAACGACATTAAAAGGGATTAGTTTCTTATAAATTAAAACTATTTTAGAAGCAAGTAAAATATGTCTAAAAAGACCATAAAATTTTTAAATTAATAGAAGCACGTGTAAAACACTCAAAACATAGGACAATTCTAAAAAGGTACCTAAAAAATTGAAGTATTTGTTTGTGCATTACGGAAAGGAATACATTCGATTAAATATAACTAATACCAATGATAAATATAAAAGGAATATATTCACATCCCTAAATATATAATGCATACATGTGATAAGCTAAAATAGTGAATTGTTAATAATATATTGTATTATGCTGAATGGAATCTATGACTAAATAATGAAGTTAATATTATTCCTTTACACAGTTAACGTATGAAAAGTAAAATAATATATTCCTTTTGAGAGAGTTATTATACATATAGGTTTTTTTATACAGGTTATAGAACCCCTAGGAAAAGGAATTAATCTTATTAACAGTATAATAAAGAAGGAAATAGTAAAGTCATTGGATTGAAATAACATCTAATATACCTAATGCCAATAACAAATAATCTAGGTTAAGATCTTTTCAAACCATAAAAAGTGTTCTTTAAGACAATCATATAATGATTTTATAATTTAACATTATTATTGTTATTCATTAGTAGGAAAATCGTTGAAATAACCGTAAATTAAAAGGATTCTATACAACCACATACAAATGACCATATAAAGGAACTATAATATGCCCTTTTAATGAACTACCTAATTGAATTATTCTTAATTTTAAATACATATTTTTAAAAATATTTTGCTTAATTATTTCATATATAGCCTAAAACTATTATATATCAACTAAATGTAAAAAATTTATATATAGAACAAAAAAATTAATAAATTGTTAGTTTAAAAAAATATAATAATGTTCCCATTTAGAACAAGAACAATTAATAAATATTTATTTCTACTTATTGAATGCAAATGTCACAACAATATTATTAGAATAAAATAGGATGAACTCATTTTGTCTATTATCATTATATGTGTCACATATTATATTAGCGTTCTCTAGGAGATTAATGTAGAATATTCATTATATATTTTTTATTGTTGAATATATAAAAAAATTCTCCATAGATATGTTGGTAATTTTAAAAAATCTTTATATCGTATTTATAATTTTTTTTATTAATTCTAATTATATTAATATTTGTTTTAATTTATCAACATTATAACATTTTAATTGTGCCCTAAATAAAATTAATAATTCTCAAAATATAAATATGTAGACGAGTGAAGAGGAGGCATATGGGGTAAGATGTTTCTAGAAAATTAAATAAAGCATATACACACTGGAAAATTGTAGATCTATGAATTTTAGAATACACCGCTTCTTATTCATTTTATCTATTATATGGGAATTTTAATTATAAATAGTTTTTGTGATAATAATATTGAACTCCTTATAATTTATTCAATATATATTACTTGTCTTTATATACGGCATTATAGGATTCAAAATATATCAACATAATAATAATGAAACAAATGTATAAAAACTTAATGTTTTATTTCAAATGAAATTATAACAGCACTTCCTTTTAATAGTAACATTGCCTATAAAAAAGCAATTAAACTATAAACAACAGATGGATTTATATGAATTCATAGAAAATATTAAATATATAATTTGTCATACTATTAAAATAAAAATATATATGTAAAAAAATTTCTAGAATAAAATTTATTTAATTTTTAAGTGCCACATAAATGAAAAACTTTTACATTTAATGTATTAATTTTTTCTTGTGTTCAATGTTTATATACTTTAAATTCCTATTTTATTTACTACCCTTTAATATCCATAATTCGTTTTTTCGTATAACTCCTCATATACTATATGAATTTAATGAATAGCAATATTACACATTCATTAAATATATATTTGCGCATTCAATTATTGTACTGCTATACATATAAATAATTATATGTCCAAATATTATTACTTCAAATTATTCATATAATTATTTTCAAAGCACCCTAATGATAACTTAAATAAATTAAATTATGCCATTCATGAATACAATTATTTGTGCCTTCCTAGTAATATTAATATAATGTCTTGATACAAAAATATTATATTCTCATTTGAAAATGTACCCACTTATAATAACAATTTGTTTTCTAGTATTATTTGTTAATACGAAGTGAAAAGAAAGAAAACTTTGATAAAAACCAAATTGAGATAATGCAACCTGCAGTTGTTATTATCTATGATGATAGTCATCGATCTAAAACTCAGGATTGCAAAGAAAAATATTTAGAATTTTTAGCAGAAACTGAAGGAACATGCCACAATATTAATGATAGTAAGTGTGTATATCTATGCAAAGAATGTGATAAACAAAATAAAAATGTAATTAAAATAAAAAATCTGTGTCCTAAAGAAATTTCTCTCTATGCTAGTTCATATATAGAACAAGGGGTACAAAATTTTTGTAAAAGATGTGCTGATAAAGATAAATATAATAAGAATTTCTCATATGGTAATGAAAAAAATGCCTCAATAAAATCAGATATAGATAACGTATATGAAAAAAATGGTATTAGTAAAGTAATAACAGTTTCTGAGGTAGAACAGCTTAATAAGAAACCCCATATGGAAAATGTTACCTCTGAACTCAAAGATCCAGAAAGTATTGATTCTCCAAGACGCAAAGAAATTTGTACAACTAAAAATGAGGGAAGATCAGAAAATAAAATTTCATGTGATAAACAACAAGAAATAATGAATTCAGCTAATTTTAATATGCATAAAGTGGAAACATACTCATCAATAATTAATGAATATCCTGTTACACCTGTAAAAACACAAACTGCACCAGAATCATTATCTTTCCCAGATGATTTATCAGATGTCATATTAACCACCATTGAAAAGGCGCAGTCTTTACAAACAATTTATATTTTGGAAACTAATTCAGATAACACACAAAAAGAGAGTCCTTCAAGTGATAATACAGTTCAAGGTATAATACAAGTTCCTCAAGTTAATCCCCAGGATATCGATAGAAATAAAGGATGTAATGCTGTTAAAGAAATATAAAATATAGTAACATTTAATTACAAAACATTTATTTTTACAGTACTAAGTAATATAACTTCTATTAAAAATGTTACTGACCTTGTAGGCGATAAGGTTGTAGAAGGAACCCCCGAAGTTACTAGTAGCATATCTGGTGCATCTGAAGATAATGATAGTCCATCTCATGATAAAGAAGTTTCCAAAGGTGAGAATTCTATTAGTAATGAATATTTTCCTTCTAGCACCAATCTGTTTTTAGGTACTAGTGTAGAGTTTATCTCTGATCAAAATAACTACGTTAATGGTGCTAATTAGAGAGTTATTCGTAATGGCACACTTCCTGATGAAATGTATGTTTATATACATTTCTTTATGTAATTTCACTTACCATTGTCGCATCTACTAACTGATATTATGAAATATCTAATGAATTTTCAGAAGTATCTTATAATGGTGATACTCTTGTAACATATATAGTTGGAAGAGAAAATGGTTCAAGTGTAAATGCATCTATAGAGGTTACAGCCACCAATGATAATGGTATTGACACAAAAATATCTAGTGAAAATAAATTTTGGATGCCATATAAAAAATATATCATAATGGCTTTAGTGCCCTTGTCAATTATTTTGTTACTTATAATACTTATAAAGGTAAACTAAAATATGATATAATAAAAGAATTATGCTTATATTTTTAATTATTTATATCAATTGGATTTTCATTTTATAATATTGTTATTTTTTTCAGTATACCATTTTAGGAATGTTCTTTACAAGGAATAAGAAAAAGAAAAAAAAACGAAAGCAAATGAATGAAAAGTTGCAGAGGAAAATATTTGGACCTTCAGTTGCAAGAGAAAGAAATGCCTAATTTGCATATAACCCTTTTAAATATTAAATATAACTGTCAATAGTTGTTTCTAAAAAATTCATTAACCTTTTTTTTTAAAGGTTAATTATATATTAACTAATTGTTTTGTATTTTCAACACCTATTTAATTATATTTTCTGTTTTAAATTATTGTACAACATTATAACTATCTTTTTTAAATTCATAACTATAAACACTTTGTGCTGTTGTTTTAATTACAGTATGATAATAATAATAAAACATTAGAACAGTTTACATTTTATTTATTTGTTTTGTTCATTTACGTTTATTGCGAAATTATTTTAAAATTTTTTAAGCTAACCTATTTCTTTTTTTGTAAAAATATATGTATATTTCGATTCAGTTTGAATTTTGATTAACCTTTTTTCTGTTTAGAGTTATATTTTTAAGTATAAAACTATGATATGAAAATTTTTTGATACATATTTGAACAATATAATTTGTACTATCTTCTGTAAACTAAATAAAAATGCCTTATATTGTCAAAAAGTATTTATTTATATTAAACAATTAAATTATTTCAAATGATAACAATACTTGGAAAAAATATAATGTCAATTAGTAACTAATTATAAATTGAACATGAATGAAGCTTTCTGTCTACACATAAACAGAATATAAGATCTAGTTATGCAAAGAAGAAATAATTAAAAAATATTTACAGTTATTTTGAAGCCATTAATTAAATAATAAAAGAAAAACAAAATTAAATCTCCTAGGGAAATATATTATGAATATAACAACTTCTAATTAAAGGATATTTTAAAAAAAACTGAAAATTATGAAATAAATATATATTAAGAAAATGAATTTAATTATAACGAATGTAATTCATAGTATATATTAAAGGGAAAAAATATATTATAAACATAATAGTTATTTACTTATGTGTAACATGCATTATGAGAAAAGTAATTAGAGATAGGAGAACAAAATAAAAAAAAAACACCACAATATTCAGTAAATATAAATAAAAAATAATAGCTATTATAATATATATTCTTAAATTATTATCATATAATATATTCTACTAGAATTCATCATCACCACAAAATAATATATGTACAAAATAAAAACATGTTACATAGGTACCAAAACAATAATATACTAAAAAATTAACAATAAATAGTAAGACATAATAACAGATCCTCGCATTGAAGCATAGACATAATTCTGAAATATTATGCATTGGGGAATTCTTATATATATAATTTTTACTATATGTTTATGCGTATGATGTAAAAAATATATTGTAATTTTAAAAACAATACTTATTTATATAATAAATATATTGATTTAAAATTATTATTGTATTATTCGGGAAAAAAATAATTCCTTACCTTTTCATAGATGAAGATTTATGTACACACTATTCATAATACAGATATATATAACAAAAATGTTCCTTTGTGTTCCACAATTA